TCAATCCCTAACCATTTGCACACAAATGGTAAAGAAAAAAACACAACATTGAAATTTCCTAACCATTTGCATTAATCAATCCCTCCAAAAGCACACAACCAATCTCTCCAAAGCACACAACCGCTCAAGCTAAGCTAGTCTATGTAGATCAAACCATTCAACACAATAAAAAATGCCATAAAAAATTAAAAAAACAATCAGTTAATTAATGCACTAAATTAGCAATCATAAAAGAGGAATTCCATAGATATAAATCAATCTCAAAACAATAGATCTAGGCAAAAACAGAAATTGTAGAATCCAAAGAAGTTCAATTAAATGCTTATTGCCAGAAATTACAGATCCAAGAAAAGATACAAACATGCCTTTCAATCCCTTTGCCTTTCATTTTCTTCATTACTTTCATTTTGGCGAGATAGAAGGTGATGGCTTAAATGTGAAGAGGAACCATTATTTGGAGAAAAACCTGCCCAACAATAACAATCCAAAACCAAAAATTAAGAAAAAAAAAACCAAAGAAAACCAAAAATTCAAAAAATCAAACAAAAAAAAAGAAAAAATTTTTTTTGAGAAATTAAACTTCGAAAATAGTGAAACCAAAACAAAGAGGTACGAGTGAGTATTAAATACCTCTTGACGTGCGCATGTGCCTATTGAAAAATAAAATTCAATGAGTACAAATTTCCATGAAGATTGAAAAGAACAAAATCATAAGCTCACCAAAAACCAAAGTAGAAGAGATGAGAACCTAAGAAAAGACTGAAGAGCTAAAAAAAAAAAGGACAAAACATAAGCTCAAAAATTTTTTTCCATTGATTTTTTCTACTAATGGCCACATTTGTCCCAGCAAAGCTCCCAATGAAAAATCTATTTATCATCTACCTAACCATATTTATGCAAGAATACAAAGAACTCCTTAAGAAGTAGTGAAAACAGAAAACTAAAATAATAATAGCATCCCAAAGCAATTAAATGGTTCAACAAAAAAGTTTACCTTTCTATCCAATCTGTTGGCAGCAAGTAATTGGTTGGCAGCTTGTAGAATATTTGTGATATTCTCGTCAGGGAATCTTGCCTTCATTAGCTGCATTAATCCACTCAACATATTCTCTCCCTCACTCAACCTTTGCTCAACATTGCTGTTTGTAGATACTATAGTTCCAAAAATGTTGGACAAAACATATCCTCAACCAGAAAATCAACAAAAGGAAAGGGAAGGAAGGTTAGAGAGCAAAACACGTATTAAAAAAAAAAAACATTTTTTATGCCAGAAACCAGAGGTACCATACACCAAATTTGAGGAAACAGTTTGTATAAAGCTTATTGATCCATGCAATCATAACTCTCCATGAATCCAAACAACGAAACACTGGAAATAATTTCATCCAACAAACATATTTCCAATTACCCAAAAACTCATCCTCTTAAATTTTTTTTCTATTGTTAAAGTTAATTAACCAGCTTGAGAACAAAGCTATAAAGGAAAGCTTTTCTCTGGCTCCCCCCCCCCCAACTTTCCCATCAGCCAAACAAACACAGAAAAGAAACAATGAAAACAAGCATAAATAAGAACGAACCTTGTTTTAAAATGACATGAGATTGAGTTTCCCACTAAAAAATCATCATCAGGAAAACAGCAGAAGCAGAGGAAAAATAAAAAAATTACTTGAATAAGATTGAACAAACCTTGTTTTAAAACAACATAAACAAATGCAAATGTATTAGTTGAATAAATAAAAAAAATTACACATTTTTTTGGTACTTCAAAAGTTAAGGTACTTAGGCATTGCGTAGGTTCAAACCACTAAATTTGACCCTAAAACCAAGATTTAAAATTGGTTTCTACCAAGTAAGTTATTAGTTGGTCATACAAAATTTACATTTATTTTATCTAAAGTATTTAACCCCCAATAAGCATCAAGGCTGTATGATACTGTAATACCAATATAGAAATCAAGAAAAGAAAAATGACCTTCTTAGCACAAACAATAACCAATTTACAGGAAAAATAGCCCTATAGTAGCAAGAAGATGATTTGACATGTATAAACAACCACTTAACCACCCAATCATGACCAGAACCTCGTAAAATAACAATTAACAAACATTGCAAGTCAAAGCCTTTAGGGAAAGCCACAAAAGAAATTATCAATTTTTTTTTTCTTTTTAAAAGACAATAAAAAAATTAGCTTTGAGTAGAGAACTGGTGAAATACCATACATTGACGTTCCCTCTCTTCCTATACTTAAGTCATTGTTAAGAGTAAGCCGAATCTCAAGATTTCCCATAAGATAACTCTTCATTTGGATTGTCCCATCAATCTCAGAAGTAAGTATATACACCTGTACAAAAATATATATTTATTATATATTAATTAAACCAAAAGGACATACTTTTATGTAAACATAAACCCAAAAGGAAAGGGAAAAGAATATCAGGTAATGATGACTATCAATGGTTCCAGTGATACCAATGGTACCAAGCTAGTTTCATTGTAATGATGACTATCAGGTAATGAGAACAAATATCAGAATGAAAAGATAGTATGACTTAGACAACAATATTTAGCATAATTGTCACTTTCATATAGACATATACATAAGAACATTAATACAGATAGTGGGAAACCTTGATTTCACAGACAACATGCATGCATTTCTCAGCCAAGGACATTAAATGTTGATATCCAGTATAGTCACTGACGAAGAGTATCTCATCTAATGCCCTGAACTTTCCAGGATCATCCCCTTTCTGAATTTATTCCAATATTCTATCAGCATGAGCAAGAAAACCAAATATAAGCATTCAAAGAACTGAAGGAGAAAAGTGAAAAAATTGGAATAAGTCAAAGATGAGATGCGCTTTATACCCATGGTGCCAGGTCTTAAGATTTTCCCGAGCACTAAGCAATGGAAAAGCTTAAACCTGTATAAATAAATGAAGATGCAAATTGATGAATGTATTAATAATAATAGCTGTACCTTCATTATTGCTTCTTCAAAAATAGGCAGCAATATGAAAACTGGATCAACTGGAGTAGCAGTATATAAGCGGCCATCTGGATACAAAAATAGAACAAGCAAACCAATATTAACTGTCTTATGTTGGCCAAAGTGTTTTATGGGATAACCTAAATATTTTAGCCAATCCCATCAACTACAAAAAGAAGATTAAGCAAGTAATCAGGTAAAATGTATGGCATGAAACATAAATCTTAGTACTTTCAATAATTTTTTGAGGCTTTGAAGGTTTACAATTTCTCAGACTTTATTTCATTTCTTTATTTTTATTTTTTACTCCTGTAAGTTAACAGCTACCTTCACAAACATAGTCTCCCAAGAACCATGAGCCATAAGATTTCTTAAACCAATGAAGCTCCTGAAACAGCCCATTACTAGAGAGATAGCACAATGTAGTTCCTGTTGAATAATTGAAGGCTGAAAGACCAAAATTTTCACTTCTCATTGTATTAATCTTGCATTAAAGTAATAAGGTATTTAACAGAAAAAAAAATTCCATTGATATCATATTAGTATTCTGCTGCCACATCTTTTCAAATGACTAACAAATTAATAGTCAAGTAACCAAAATATATATTTATATATTTATCAACAGTATTTATAAAAAATTAGACAAAAAAATATCTTAAAACTAAATCATTTTAATTAATTTCCATTGAAAAAAACTAAAACATCCTCATTTTTAAAACATAAATGAGACTATTTTAGTTTTTTATGGTAATGCTTTATTAAGATAACTTAGGTGCTTTTCTGCCTAGTTTTTCCACAATCCAGCTAATAAACAATAATCTCAACCAAAAAACCAACAGATATGAGAACAAAAAACCAACGATATGAGAACAGAAAACCAACTGAGACACAGTACTAATTGATCTTTTATTATGTCACCTGATTTAGGTGGCGAAGTGATAGCAAACATCCAGAACTGTCTCTGGTGGCACCAGGATCTGTTATCACATCAATGAAACTCGTCATCAAATTATACCAGTAAACATAATTTAAAGGAATATAAGGAAAATCCACAAAGAGAAAGGATCTTTGATATATATCCTTTGCAATATAGTCTGGAATACAAGAGTTTTACAGAGGAATTTAAGAAGATTGAAGCATGCCAAAATAACTGAACACCCAACAAAAAGATACAAAACACTTTTATACTAAATTATAGAAAGTAATTCATCTGCAGTTAGCCTTGTTTTATTACAATTTTTTCTTATACAAATGGTGCAGGACATATGCTTTAATAATTGTGGTTTCTATAAAGATTTTTTCCATAATAGAGAGAAGTGATAAATAGAAACTTGAAAGTACAAATGAAAATATAAGGATTAGTGAGTTACCCTCTATGTTGGTGTCTGACACTCCAAAAACACCTCCAGCAAGCTAGGGTTTGACAGAAGACAGATCTGTAGTTGTCCGGTTGGCACTATGGGCCACTGCGCGCAGTAGAAACCTAAGAACACCGATCGTGGCCATGAAATGCGGTAAGCGTTACAAATCAGTAGAAAACAGAACATTTCGATGATGTTTGAGCTCGATCTAGCATCCGATCTGTCCTGCAGGAACACACTAGTCGACTCCACCGAAGGGTCAATCGGAGTCTGAAACATGGATCTAAGGTCCCCAGTGCTAGATCAAGTCGAAAAGTCGTCAAGGTTAACCAAATTTTTTGGATGGAATGTCAAATTTGCGCTATTGGAGAACTGTCCCACAAAGAGAACGTCAGCTGGCCCCTTTGATCGGACGGTAATGGCATGAACAGCGAGAAGGAAAAAGGGAAAGAATAGGAGAGAGAAGAGAGAAAAGGGAAATGAATTTTAGTGAAGGTTGGAGTCGAACTAGATTTAGGAGAGGGAAATATTAGGTCTAGCTGGGGAGGGAAATATTAGGTCTAGCTGGGGAGGGAAACTTGGAATGTAGGGAGGGAAATTGGGAATATGTGGAGGGAAGTGAAAATAAGGACAGCCGGCTGAAACTAAAGTGGGAAAAATTGGGTTTAACAAATAGTGAATTATACAGACAGACAGAACATAGTAATCTGTATGTATAAATATATTTATATAAATAAAAGATGATTATCATTGGAACAGATACTCTCTATACAGACGGATAATAAGTTTTTCGTTTGTATAAACTTAGTTTATATTAATTGATATAATTTTTCGTTTGTATAAACCTGACCTATATTAACGGATATATTTTTCCGTTGGTATAGACCTATCTATACAGACGGATATATTTTTCTGTTAGTATAAACTTGTCTATACAGACAAATATATTTTTCCGTTGGTATAGACCGGTCTATACAGACGGATTTCAATCCATCAGTATAGACTTCCGTTGGTAAATGGCATTTTGCTTGTAGTGGTGGTAGCACCGTAAGAGAAAAAAACCAAGCCAAATCATCAGGGCTACGCAAAGATGTAGTATCAGATGTGTTTTCATTTGAATTCTCAACCAAAAAGGATTCCCTTGAGGACATGCTCTTGAAATCATAAAAGTTACAAATTGACATGTTGCATTGCATAAAATGCTATATTTTTATTAGATAGTAAAACAGTTTAACTTATAAGAGAAGATAATTAAGGAGAGGGATTTGCAAATTCAAACCATATTGCCAACGAGTAAAAGACCTTGTTATGTTAATAGTTTGTTTGATTTGAGAGATCGAATGAAAGAGAAGGAGAAGCAAGGGAGGAGACATGATCTTATTTCAATCAATCAAATTAAATTATTAAACTTACAAAATAATTTAATTAGTTATAATAATTTTTGCTCCTCTCCCTTCAAAACCAATTATGCTAATGCACTGGCTGCTTTAGCCGCGATGGAAATGCACCAACGTCTTTGGTTTCTTTGTCAATGGTTCAAGCTTCCAGTGCAGTAATATTGTAACTATTCCCCCATCCCCCAATTTTTCACTGGTCAAAAAAAAAAAAAAACCAATTATGCTAATATGTTTGTCCTGGATTCTCAAAAGATTGAGAGGGTACAATGGACAAAATAGTAGCCAATGGGGGCAAAAGAAGAGGCAAAATTTGACACCCTTCCGTATCATATCAGCAAGCAAACATAATTACTAAACAAATCTTACAAGAAACATTAACCCTATATAGTATCAAAAACAATAAAATCTTACTCGTAATTTAAAAATTAAAATGATACGTCATCTTGACTCGGGCCAACCAATTCCCAGCCCCCACCCCACCTTCTTATAATCACCCATTAAGCCTTCCCTCCCTCAGAAAGAAAACCAAACAGGCAGCCACTGAGCGCGAGGTCCCTCGACCTCCGCACGCCCCCCACCCCGGGGCTGTGCTCATGTCACCTTCCAACGCACAACCACCACCACCTCCACGGTCGAGCTCACCACAAGAAAAAATGGAATCGCTGCAACCACCAGGACCTCAGCTCCTGCAGCCGCTTTACAAGCAGAGATCCTGGTCTCCAGATGTCTTCCGGAACGAAGCTTGGCTTCGACGCAAGGGAAACAGCAAGAACCGGAGGAGCAAGAGCGTCACAGACGAGGATCTGGATGAGCTCAAGGCCTGTATCGAGTTAGGATTCGGATTTGATTCCCCTGAGGCGGATCGGGATCACCGCCTCTCTGATACTCTACCCGCTCTCGAACTTTTCTATGCAGTTAACAAACAACACAACGACGTTGTTTCCAAGTCTTCTTCTTCTCTCTCCACCGTCTCCGACGGCGAAACTCCCTCCCCGATTGGCAGTCCTCTCGCCATTTTTGGACCAGGTAATTAATCAAAAAAATTATAATTAGTTACCTCTTTTTTTCTAAGAAAACTTTTTTATGTCCAAAGATCTGTAGTTAAATATTGATTTTTTTTTTCTTTGTTTGGATTAGGGGATAATCCACAAGCGATGAAGACGAGGCTGCGGCGGTGGGCGCAGGTGGTGGCTTGTTGTGTGCGGCAGAGTTCGTGACGGCGGCGATGAATCCGGATATCACACCAGGGTCAGTCTAAACCAGGAACCAAACAAACCAGGGTTATTCAAGTAACCAACAAACAGCGAATATAGTGAAGATCATTTTGTTTGATACCATTCCCCACCACATACGCAGACTTTGTTTGGTTATATATTCAGAATTTATTTAAATTTAGCAATCTTACTTTTAATTTTTTTACTTTTTATATTAATTTAAGATGAAAATATAATATGATATGTAAATAATAATTAAAATCTTTTATCAAATTAAATTGCTCCATAAAAATTAGGTGATTTGTTTCGTAGTTTTTAAAATAAAAAGTGTTTAATAGGAATCATTTAATGGGATTTATAGTGAATATATTATAGTTCAGATTATAAATATATATATATTTTTTATAAAAGCTATATATTAAAAAATTTTAATTGTCATTTACATATTTTATTAAATTTTTATCTAAATTAATATTAAAAAAATTAAAAAATTAAAAAATTAAAAAATTAAATTATTTAAAATTAAATGAAAAGAGTACTTGGTACAAGTCCAAAAAAATAAAAATGAAATGTGAAAATCCTGCGAAAAATGAAATGTAGTACAATTGGACTTTCTTTGAGTAATTTGGTCTTGTTATATATATATATATATATCTATGTCGAGAAAATATTGCTTATCAGTTTTACCTCCTAAAAATTAAGAAGAAAATCATTTTAAAATTATGTCATTTCAATAAATTTTTATTAAAAAAGACTAAACTATCATATTTTTAAAATATGTATTAAAGTGATTTTTGTTCTTTTTCTTTCTAATTTTTTGAAGGTAAGGTGGACAAATACTAAGTTCATATATATATATATATATTTGTTTTTTTTTTTTCCTTTTTACTTGCGTTGGTTGATTTAGAATCTGTCTAAAAGTCTAACTAATTAAATTACAAGTTCAAAGTTCCAAAGCTAGTCTAAATTGTGGTGTAAAAAGAGATGAAGACTCAAAGAGATTGATAGATTCTGCTCTTCTTTTTTCCCTTTAGAAAAAAACAAATATTCCAGCTATATGGGACAACTTGCTAGAAACTACTTTTCTTTCGTGGAGAGGAAGGGATTTGATAATTGAATATAATAAGAAGTTTGATGCACTGCATTAGCTGCAGGAGTGGGATTTGGGCAGGAAAACTCAACCAGAGTGGGAGTTGATTGAATCGTGTTTATTAACCTAGAATAGTCAAAGGAACAAAGGCTGCGATCCTAAAGATACAAAGGCATACATAAGTTGGAGCAAGAGAATCAACAATAACTCAGTGAAATTAGTATATATTAAATTAAAAATTTTAATTAAAAATTAATGTCAAAGATTAAACCTTAATTTACAATGTAACAAGAAAATAACAAGACAAAAATTAATAAGATTGGGGTAAATATAGATCAATTATGCGATGAAGAGGGCATACAAGCCCGTCCCTTTGGGGCATTTCCTCCAGTAAAGTTGCTACTTGAAGGCAAATCTATTCCCTCTAGACACCCTGAAGGAAGTGTTTGAACTTCAACATGATGGAATTCTCAGGTTATGCCTGGTTTAAAGTAAATAAAGGAATGAATTTTTTGATCAATTGTATTGT